ATTGTTTTCAATTCGTATCATCTGCTGACGGCATCCAGATGAGCTGAAATATCCAGATGACGGCAGCTAAATATATTGTCTGAGTATACATTAAATATCACTTTTGGAAGAAAAATTGAATTTTTCCCATGGATGATCATGAGCATCACACCAGACATGACACTTCACTCTATCAACCAAAGTCGCTCAAAATCTAATGGTTTCTATTCCTCGGCACCCCCAATCATCCTGTGAAGTCAGATTTTGAATTACTTTTCTTGTTTGAAAGTTATCGTGTTAACAAATTTTTGCGTACAGGGTACCACGCACATACATTCGGACATCGAAAAATCGCTAGATTCGTGTTCCCTGGCTCCTAAAACACCCAGAAAACATGTTTTTGATGGGTGTTAATTTTTAGACCGATTCCAATACTTCACCTTACACACTAGGTGTGTGCGGAAAAGTAAAATGTCCAAAAACCAATTCAACATCCATTCGAACCCCAGTTCATACGTAAATTGGACGAAGCTCTTAGGCACCACAAGTAATAAGAACATTTTGAAGGACACTACCAAAAATAAGAAAACTAAAGATGTTAAGAGAAAACCATTAAAGCAACCAAAAAAACCAACACAATCACAAAAAGCATCAACTTCAAAGCAAATGAAGATCGATTCGGACGAAGATGAGGAAAGTGAATGAACGCGATCTACAGAAAATGCAAGCTCGTATTAGTGCACTATTCACTGAAAGTCATTAAATATAAATTGATTTGATATCAAAATAAAGATCGTATTGAAATACAAAACTTATTTGAAAAAATATAGCTATGTGTTTTGATTCAATAGTTGCTGACTTCAAAAATGAAATAAAACTTCTTAAACTTTATTATAAGTTGATGAATAAAAAAAACAAAAGCCAAAATAAGTTTAAACATATTCTGTAGAATGGGTAATGTTGAAATTGTTGTTTAAATAATCAAAATGGTGCCAGATAAAAGCAGGCAAACGGATATTGAAGTGTTATGAGGGGACAGAGAAAAAAACAGAAGTTCTGATACTTTTTGAGTTCAGAAACTTCGGAAATAAATGATATTTTTTATTATTATTTTTCGCGCATAGTTATTGCATCGCATTGTTATTTCCAACGTTGTTCTACTTATTTTGCACACAACCGGACATTAACTTTGATAAGAATAAGTGAATGTCGTTGATAACAATTAACAAAAAAAAAATCTTATTCATTATTACATTATTCAATTCAGATCAGTTGTTATTTGAGAATTTAATTGTTTGGTTGCAAAACAAAATTCAAAGTTGAAGAATGGAACGGCGCATATTTTTGATATCAATTTGTTTGATTTTTTCTACAAAATATGTGAGTTTTTTTTTTAATTTAAAAATTAAATTAATAAAATTGTTTGAAAAAAATGGTCAATTTTTAGTCTGTAAATGGAGAAAAAAAGGTGGCAAGTATCGATGCAAGCGATATTAAAGAATTTCGTGCAAAATATTATGTAGAGCCCGTCAACGATTTGAGCGATTTGAATGAAACATCGATTGATGTAATTGGTGTATTTGAGAAAATTAAAGAATTGGAAAAGAGAGGTTTTGATATGTTGAATTTGGTACCAGACAATGGTGCTACATGCTCCATTCAAGTCAAATACTACATCTCAACCATCATTGAACGTGCCAAAGAACAAATCGATTATTGCGTTGAAAAACATTTGAACATAGATAATCGCTTAGAATTAAATGTAAGCATTTTACATTGATTTGTGGCTTTTTTCCCAATTTCCCAATTAAAATTATCTCATTTTTTCGATAGACCGACCAGAAGAGTTGCACATTGGAAATATTGGACTCGGCACAAAAACAAATCGATGATATGTCGAAGATAGTTGACGACTGTAGATTTGTTGTTTGAAAATCACACTGCATGTGAGAAAATATGAAGATTTCAATATGATTTGAATCTTCTCGGAAATTGTCAAATACCAATCAAAATAATTTTTCAACGTTGACATCCGACTTTATAAATAAATGAACCGTTAAAAATAATTTCTTGAAAGAAAATATAACAGATTTTGTTTTTTATTTAAATTGGATACCATTTTTCACTTTATTCCATTTTCACTAGTTTCGAATTCATTCAATTGTCAACATTGACATTGACAGCTTTTGTAAAAGTTTCTATATAACCAAAAAAAAGCAATATTGAGAAAAATGTTTTTATTTGAACAATTTAAGACGTTAAAACAAGTTTCCCACTATGCAAAATATACGAGAAAGTGGTTTATCAAAGCTGCATTAGATAAACAGCAACTGCAAGAACAATTTGACTTAGTTTGTGGATGCGTAATGTCTGCATTGAAAAATCGAAAAAGTTTGTCCGTTTCAGAATTTAAAAAAATTGAAGAAGAGCTGCGTTCAAAATGCAATGAATTAAAAAAAATGCAATTTTATCAACACGTATTTAACGTTTTATTTACTCTACGGCCACCAAATGATTCGATTGAAAATGCGAAAAGTTTTGTAGAAGCATTCAATATAAAGAATGATCTAAATGTAAAAAAAAATTTCATTCGACTTTATACACAGAAAGCTTTGGAGTTTGAATTAACAGAAAAAGAAGAGAAAGAATTGGTCTACCGGTTTGTAATATTTACCACTTTCCATAGATTATTTTTCATTTCATTTTTTAATCATTTTTAATTCAATTTAGATGTGATGAACTTATAGCTCGAAAGATCAAAAACTGCAAAAAGTTGAGTGCAGTCATCGCGTTGGGTCTATGTGCCACAAAGGACTGGCATAGAGCAATTGAACTTCCCAATCTAACACACGGACCACTGAATATTCTAGCACAGAGAGCATTGAATGAGAATGACATCGATTCAGCTTTTAAAATAACACATAGAACCATTACACTTAACAAATGGTATCAGTTTTTGACTAGTAATACGATCGAATCATTTTCAAAATATTTCAATAGGAATCCAACATGTATTCCGTCAAATACTGACAAATTATTTTCCCTGTGCGAAAAACTAAACATGCAATTCAATGAACCATCGATAAAGGAATTGGTGAATGTTCTAGAAAGACATGGGCATCATGCAAAAACTACAAATATCAATTTGTCGTAAGAGTCAACCATTTTAGATTCATTGGATTGAGAATCACAATGCTCAATTAAGGAAATCAATTGTTTTTATTTCATCCACAGTGGCACCTGTAATATGTGTAAAAATCAACTCGAAGTAGTACGTACTCTGACGAATGCTGAATTCAACATCTTGCAAACAGAATTTATGAATAATGTTGTGAAAGGAGCCGATATTTATCAAAATACCACACCCGAAGAATGGGATTCGTTTGAACAGATGATCCAGAAAAATGGACCATTTGATATTGTAATCGATGGCTTAAATGTTTCCTATCAAGCAAATTTAAATAACGTACAAGCTAACGGATTAAGTAAATTGAGTTTGTCAAACGATTATTATAAATCACCGTGTTCATATTCTCTAGCGGATGCAGCAAAGCAACTAATAGATGAAGGCAGACGCGTTTTAGTCATTGGTAAGAAACACATGAAGGTTTGGTCAACAATGGAAGATATTCGCCAGATCGCCACTGTCTTTTTGGTTGAAAATGAGTAAGCTTTTCATTTTCAAAATTCATAAATAAACATTTTAAATTGTTTCATTGATTTCAATTGCAGTTCTAATGATGATATATTTTTGCTATATGCGGCCATATACAGCGGCGAAAATGCTTGTATTTTGACACGAGACCATATGCGGAATCATAAGCATGCGATTGGAGAAGAGTACGATCTCACTTATCTCACATATTGATTAATTTCTATTATTTCCATTCTTTTCTATGTGATTCATACTAGGTACGATGAGTTGTTTAAATTGTGGCAACAAGAACATTGGTATAGCTTTGAATTTTCTCAGAGTGGGTCAATAGAACTTGTGAAGCCGATCCAATACAAAATGTACATTCACAAAGTGGATGAATTTTGGCATGTGCCGTTCGAAGCAAAGGACAACGTGGTATCAAATATATGGAAAAATTATGAATTGCCTGAAAATTGGGCTTGTATACGAATCAAAGATAATTTTGAGTGTTGATCCCAAAGTTTGTCTATAGGATATTGTGCATTTAATGCTTAGCTGTAACATTCATTGTCCCGGTAAAGTTAAAAAAAAAAAACACAATTACAGACAATTATCCAAAATTCTTAAAATTTTACTTTTTTCCAAAAGATTTTTTTATTTCTAAAAATGTTTAACATTTACTGATGAAAATATTTTTTCGATGGAGTTTCCTTGGTACAAACATGAAACATTCAGTTATGAAATATATTTACAATTTTTTGTTAGCTTTGTATTTTGATTCATAGATGGCACACTTATCAGTAAAAAAGTACCATTTCATTTTTCGCTCGTTTTGATTCCTATCAGCCATTGACGTTTATAGGTCTCAGAATGTCAATATGAGCAGTTTGTATTTTAATAACCAAAATGTTTGTGATATTAAGAAAAATACATTTTTTTGAAAATTCAAAGTCATTTCAACAAGTTTTCAACTATGCAAAATATGCCAAACAGTCGACTTGTGAAAGAAAAGCCAAATTAGAAAAACAACAATTTAACTTAGTTCGTGGATGCATAACGTCGGCATTAAAAGATCGACCAAGTTTGTCCGTTTCCGAATTCAAAACAATCGGAGCTGAACTGTATTCGAAATGTAATGAATTCAAACATATTAGTTTTCATTATCATGTATTTAGTGTTCTATTTACTCTTCGACCGCCAAATGATTCATTGGAAAATGCGAAAAACTTTATAGAAGCATTCGATATAAAGAATAATTCTCGTTTAAAAAAAATCTTCATTCAACTTTATACAAAGAAAGCTTCCGAGTTTAAATTAACAGAAAAAGAAGAACAAGAATTGATCCGGATGTTTGTAATTTTTAATATTTTCAATCTTTACCGTTGATGGCTATTTTTTTATACCAATCATTTTTTTGTTTCTTTTTTTTAGATGTGATGAGTTTATAGCTCAAGAATTTCATATCGACTCAGATTGTAATGCAATAATCGTGACGGGCCTGTGTGCTACAAAAGACTGGCGTAAAGCAATTGAATTGCCTCACTCAAATGACATATCTTTGAATAGCCTAGCACAGAAAGCAATTCATGAGAATGACATCGATTTGGCATGGAATATATTACATAGGCTAACTAACCTTTCACATGATCATCGTTTGACTACTAAAACCATTACAGCATTTGCAGAATATTTCGATGAAAATCCAACACGTATTTCGACACATGCTGGCAAATTATTTTTCCTGTGTGAAAAACTCAAGATGCTATTCAATGAACCATCGATAAAGGAATTGGTAGATGTTCTAGAAAGACATGGGCATCATGCAAAAACAACAAATATCAATTTTTCGTAAGACTATATCTTCTGTAACAGACATATTTGATTTTTGGATCTGATTCAGTACAGTCTGGCTAAAAAAAATTATTCTATTCATAGTGGCGTCTGTAATGTGTGCAAAAATCATCTCGAAGCAGCACGAACACTGTCGGACTCAGAATTAAATATATTGCGTGCAGAATTTACGAAAAATGTCGTGAAAGGAGCCGATATTTATCAAAATACCACACCCGACGAATGGGATTCGTTTGAACGGATGATCCAGGAAAATGGACCATTCGATATTGTAATCGATGGCTTAAATGTTTCTTATGGAGCAAATGCAAATAACGCTCATATTTGCGCTTTTAGTAAATTGACTTTTTCGAAAAGAGATAATAAGGCGCCCAGTGCATTGTCGCTGAAGAATGCAGTGGAACAACTATGCAATGAGGGCAAACGCATTTTAGTAATTGGTCGAACACATATGAAATATTGGGCAAAAATGCGTCGTATTCGTCAAATCGCCACTGTTTTCTTCGTTGATAATAAGTAAGAAATACTTTTGCAAAGGCCATAAATGAATATTTTTAAAAAAGTTTTATTTTTTAATTCGATATCAGATCTGTTGATGACTTATTTTTATTGTATGCAGCCTTACAAAGTGGTCAACATGCTCATATTTTATCAAACGACTATATGAAACAGCATAAATTCTCGATCGAAGAAAAATACCGAGAATTATTTAAATTGTGGCAACAAGAGCATTGGTATGGATTTATACTTGATCAAAATAAATCTCTTCAACTTGTAAAACCGATGCAATACAAAATGTATATTCATAAGGTCAATGACTTCTGGCATCTGCCGTTTAAAACTAATAAACACATCGAATCCAAGTTATGGAACAATTATGAATTGCCTGAAAACTGGGCTTGTATACGAATTAAAGATAACGTTGAGTGCAATCATATGGCTACAGTGTGACCATTTACGACAATGTTCACTTCATTCGAGGTTTCATAACGTATAACTATAAAATTATTAATCATATTCAATTTCGTTAAATTTTTGTAAGAAAATTATTTTTTATTCCATTTAAGAATGTTACATACTTTATTGTTTTATGTAATCACCAAAATTCGATGCACTAGAATATATCAACTTGAATAGTAAAAAAAAACCATTTCAAATGTTGTTTAAAATGCTACATAATTTCAATACTTTCTTTTCGTTCTTTGAGAGATAATGTATGTGATTTTGATTGTTTCAAGAATGCTCATAAATATGATATTTTTTGGCGGGGATTATTATATCATTGTTTGTGACATGAAGAAATGGTGTGGAAGTTATGAAAGCAATTTTTGCCACGTTTTAAACAAAGGTGCAACTTGCATTTCAAGCAAAAAACGCGCGATTTACCCTTACAATTTTCATTTTTACATCTAATGGAAACACGTTTCTTTATATCAATCGATGGGAAATGCTCAAATTTATCGTATCGGATTGCATGTGCTGGCCTCTTTTCCTGGGCATTTTTCTCTTTATTAATAACGATGCCGCTGGAACGACGCGGTTGTGTTTTCGGTTCGATACATCCGTTGTTTAATTCTTTTGAAAATTTCGGTTTTTTCGGTGGGTCCTTCTTGTTTTGATTCAATGCAGTTGTGATGTTAATTGGTTCAAAAATCGGAGTTTTTGGTCGAAGATTTAATGTTATCTTTTGCTTTTCGATTATTTCAGACTCTTTCTCTAAAGGATTTTGGCTGCTTTGTTTTTCTTTCGGCAGCGGTCGCTTTGCGGCGAATCCCTTTTTCTCGTGATGTAAGCGTTTTTGACTCGTTGGCTTTTCTTTTTGTGGAACACGTTTTTTTGCCAATTCATTGCCCCTTTGCCGTACCCTTATTGGCTTCGTGAATTCATACTCTTTCATCACCTTTCTTTTCGGTGTTCGTTTACTCCTTCGTACAGGTGTAGCCACTGGTTCTGGCTCTGGTGTAGTTATTATTGGACTATTTGGCAAATCAAGTGGAACCAATTCTTTTGTTTCTGGATCACTCATGACATAGTCGTTGTCCTCCTGAAAATAACATTTGCTTGAATATTGAACACAACAGGTAAACAATGACATACTTACCACTTTAACTACTTCGAAACAGATTTCTGGTGTGGGAAACGCATATTCATAGAGAGCCGGCTCAGTAATAACATCGTTTTCATTCAGTATAAGTGGATTCCGTTCGACTTTCGGACGAATTGTGTGAGCGTTCATCATTTTTCGAAATGAAATAACTGAGAACTCTTAACTCAATGTTTATTTACGCATTGATATTGAAAATAGACAACTATGCTAAATGTCAGTGATGAATGACAGTTTGAATTAATGTTTTTTTTTTCCACGTAAAAGTGAAGTAATAGATTTTACAATTTGAATACATCTACATTATTTTTCATTCAAATAAACACATTTTTAATAAGAAAATTAACAATTTCAAGCGTTTTGATGGCCAATATTTGTATTATGAAGCATTTTTTTGGTGAAATCGCCGCATGTGAGTGTTTAATGATTGTGGTTGACTGAAGCGAGTTGTGCACTGTATACATTGGTATGGTTTTTCACCTGTGTGACGGTTCATGTGAATTTTTAAATGGTACGATGTAGCAAAACGTCCCAAACACACCGTACATGCATGTGGTTTAATTTTATTATGCACCATTAAATGTTTCTTATAACTTGGTGCCGTGACAAAAGTCTTCTCACAATGTGTGCACTGAAAAGGCCGTTCACCTTGATAAAGGGGAAAAAAGTAGAGAGTTCCAGAAAAAATTGCAACGGGTTTCCGAAGAAAAATTAGAAATCGTGAATCACCTGTGTGTTGCCGTTGATGAATTCGATATGTATTGCTGTTTTTAAGTAGTAACCCGCATACTTGGCATTTATATCGAATTTCACTGTGTGTTCTGCGATGCATATTTAGTAATTTACGAGATCGATAGATTTGTCCACAAATTTCACATATCAACTCTTCCGTCACATTCGAATGACTTGCCAAATGGACTCTCATTCGACAACGCAATTCAAACTCTTTACCGCATTCTGGACATTTGTGCACTTGTGCCAATCCTTTGTGCTTTAATTGAATATTCTTTAGATATTTAATCGAAACAACAATTAAATCTGCTTACGATTCGAGTGTGTCGCTCCAATGCAACCCGTTCTACAAATACTTTGTTACAATCAGAGCAATGGATTTTCTCTTTGCTGCTGCCGACATGCATTCGATTGAAATGCACTTTCAGGCCCAATAGTCTCTGGTCACAGTACATTCGGCACAAATGACATTCAAATGTTTTACCCATATGGAGATGTGCTCGCATGTGTGTTTTAAGTTTGCTACGACACAAACAATCTTTTTCGCATAAATCACATATGTATGATCTATACGATGTTGTTGAAGAAGATAATTAATTAGTCGAAAAAATAAATCACGAATCTGAAAGTAAATCATACCGATGTTGCTCACTGCTCTTTCTCTTCTTGTATCTTAGTCTTGACTTGACTTCTGATGATGAACATTCATCACTTTTCATGGTATTTCCGCCCAGTGATGCATCTATATTAACCTCAAATGGAATTTTATCATCTCTTCCATTATTATACAATGTTTGACCCTTTTCAATTCTTTCGAATTGGCCCTTAAAGCAAATAACAATTAGACATTTTACACCACCATTCTTAAATAAACTCACATCGTATTTATCTTGTGGTTCTTCCTCATCATCATTTGTTTGAAAATTAAGTTGTTTGACAAAGTTGGAGAGTTGTTTTTCTGAACATAAATTGCTTCGCGAGATTATTTCAAAATCGTTATCGTTAAGACCACTCAGGAATTTATCAATCAGCATAAAATCGTTGTACACACCGTACATACATTTGGTTATTTGGGCTCTGATTTGGTCAAACCAATCGGTGATATTATCAGCTTGCTTTCTTTGACACATATGAAAGAGACGTCGACTTTGAAAAACCACCAGTGACGGTGATGTGAATTCTGTCATTTGTAATTTGGTATTTTTGTCGATCCCTTTGTGAGCTTTCATTCAGAAAGAAAATTCCAAAAGTTTTTCTTTTTTCTCGGTTTATAAAAATATAAACAGAACCAAATGTCATTGGAATATTTATTAACTGTCAATGCTAATGTCGTACTAGACCTTATGTATGATTTTAAAAATAATATGGGGTTAAGCGCTGTTATAAATGTACAAAAGTGAATGATAAAATGATATGATGAATGGTCTGAATTACGAATGTGACCAAGCATATGTCGATGGAACAATAAATAAAATGACAATAAGTGAGTCTTTACTCTCTTCAAAATTACGTTAACCTAAAGAAAAATAAGTAAAAACCCTATAGCGAATCTCACCGGAATGTTTCTCTGTCATTTGATCTCAACACAACTTTTCCAGCGGTTTTAGTAATTAATAAATAAATTAATGAACAATAAAAAAAAGAAAATAGAAAACTTTGAGAGTGATTTAAAAAATAGAGTCGATTACAAGATCGTTCACACGAAATCTTCCATTCATATTGGACCACTAAAACCATATTCATACAATTCTAGTTTTTCTAGTGTTTCTATTGCGTGAAGTTGGCTCCTTCATATACAATGTATCTAAAAAAAATTACAGCGAACCAACTTCACGCACTGGAAACACACTGCTTTTTCTGCTAGTGCCTTCTAGTTCTACTAGTTTTTCTAGTATAAATATCCCCTTGACTAGAACACATGTTCATTTGCTTGGATTAGATCGATAAATGGATACCAACGAGAGATACTATTTTTGACTGAAAACGTAGTGCCAACCAACGTTGTATGAATTTGATTAAATACAACGTTCACTTTTCAATGTACAACTCGCTTCATTAGAAACCGTCACGAAGAATATAATTAACAAATAATATCATCTTTAAGGTACACATGTATTTTTTCCATCATTTAGCATATTAACTATGTATCGAAACAATAAAAAACCCGACGATTTCAAATAAGAGTTCTCGTTGAGTTTGTTCATTTCAATTATGCTGTCAAAATTAAGCCCGGTTCATTCTCAATCAAAAATGTTGTTCGGTGGCCACCGCTTCACATGCCAAATTATACACCACATTTGACGCAAAAGAGTTGTGGTCAAAAATCGAAAAAAGGGAATTTTCAGCGATTTTTTCAAAATGCCACCTGGCGGACAAATTTTGATTTTTTTACTACATATATTGGGGGTATTGCGTCACTTGGGGGACTGCCGTTCCCCGCGATAGGTGGCCGCTTATGTTCACACTTTTCCCAATTTTCACCAAATAAAACAATGTTCGTTTTTAAAAATGTGCATATCGGCTCAAAATTGAGTGCGATTTCGATCTATGATGAAAAAAACCACGCCAGTAATACATTTTTTCGAGAAAAATGCTACCATCACTTACAATGGCAAATAATGTAAAAAACTGCATGATGGCGCCATCTCTATGTGCTCATGAAAATTAGAACAAAAAGTTTGTGTAGAATGTTAGTTGTTTGAAGTTTGAATACGGAATCATTTGTTGTGACGTCTGTCATTTTACGCTCGATAAAGATATACCGTGTAAATTGAACAAAAACCGATTTATTATTTGTATTTGGTGAATTTGTGATGGAAAATAAATTGAAATTACTTTGCACAGTTTGTGTCATCGAAATTAACTGCGAGGACGTTGCATATCACATGGTTTTTCTTCACACAAAATCAGTTGACATTTTTGACTTTTTCGCACCAAAAAAAAAATGTTTTAATTGCCTTTGGTGCTCGTTTGGATCGCGAGTTCAATGCCAAGCACATAGAGATGTCGCTCGGAACGTGAAGCTCAAAAAAAATATACAGGTGATATAGAAAGCAAGTGAGGGTAGTGTGCGGACATTTGAGTAGTCATTTTTGCCAATAAATTTAGAAATCCGAATTTGATGTTAGTTTCGCGATAAAATTTATCTTCATAGAAATACTTACAAAAATGTGGATTTTTGTATGGGAGACGGAATTAATGAAATCGAAATGATGTGAAACTTTGCACATGTCATTTTGATCACTAAAAATTGATCACCAATGAAGATTGGAATAAAGTTCTCGAGCTATTATTTCTTGGTGAAAAAAATGTGCAGAGTTTCTCATTATTTCGATTCCTTGTATGGGCATTAAAGTAAGAGATAAAATGAAAACAAATATTTGTTGAATATATATTGTATTTTTATTTTACAAACTGATTCTCATTTATAATTAAATTTTTAAATAGTTTTTTCTTTGTCCATTCCATTCATACATTTTCTTTGCGTGAGTGATATTTTTATTCACTTTTTTATTATTTTTTTGGGTTTTCAATTTTCTTTTCACATTTCACATTCATTGTTTCCTCTGTACCATTCATATTCGTGATCATAATTTATATTTTGAGAATTAATATTTCACTATAATTAAATAATTTTTTTTTCTGCCGTTTATAAATGCCACAATGCAATTCAAAAATTCTTTTACTTAATTTTTTTTTTTGAAAATGTTTGTGTGATTGTGTGCTTAGTTTTTGGAATGCGGCAAAAAATGTAAAAATTTATGCTAATTGTTTTCATGTTATAAATGTGATTTTTTGTTGTTGTTGTTGTAATTTTTTTTAAAAAACGTGCAACAATATGCGCATCATATTTAAACAAAAAAAAAAATATTTTAATTTGGAAAAAATGTTATTTATATCAATTACAATGCGATTGAATTGAAGAGGAGCATATGATCGAATAAAATGACGCGAGTAGCAATTTTATTTGATTTTTTCCCAATTTTATCTAAATTATAAACAATTAGCGCATAAAATTTAGTATATGAAACATCAACATACACATCAAAATAATTTTACATGATGCAAAATGTGTTCGAATTTTGTTTTTTGGTTTACAATTTTTTTTACCAATTTTCACATGAAATAGAAACACAAATTAAAAATCATACCCATGCACACGCATCTTCGTACAATTTACCACGATTATTTAACTTTCGCTTCATTTGCGCGCGTACACGCTTGTATTATTATGTCTCTCTCATATTAGTTGACTATGAATAACAACAGAGTAATTTAATTTTTGCTCTCTTATAACTTGGTTTGTACTTTGATTCCTCTTGCCATTTTCCGAAATAGGTATTTTTTTCTTTCTTCTCTTTCTTTCTTGTGTCATTGTTTTAAAGATAATAATGATAGAATTAATTTGAAGTTATAGGATTTGAGTGACGTTTTGCAGTTCGATCAAAAATGAACATTTAGGTACCGGTATTGTTTTTTGTGTGTTCTAGTTGTTGTGTAACTTATATTTGTATAGTTTGTTTCGAATGTGTCGGGTTGTCCTTTCTATTGGGACATCTAAGATGTTTCAGATAGAGTGTGTCTCTGTTGAAATCAATGTTGCCCACATTTACTCTCATATTTTTTACGCTTCTTTATTTGTTTCGCTTTTGTATAAATCTACTGTTTGTAAACACAGCCAACCATTTACGTCATTCACTGACTCCTACTCATCTTCAAATTCTTTTTTATAAATCCATCTAAACAGACGTATCTGTCTTAAAGTGTTTTAGTTATTTTTTTGTCGCAGAATTTTTGGTACTTTTATTTGCAATTTGATTTATATACATTGTAAAACTGAAGGGATCCAAAAGGATTAAACTCTAATCTCGAATATACAGAAAAAATCTCCAATTAGAATATTAAAACAATACTTAAAATAATTTGTTTAAATTCGATTTATTGGATATCATCGTTTTCAGGGTGCAAAACATACAGTTCAAATTAGAGCAGCGGTTGCGTGAAAGAAACATTACATGCGCAATCATCATGTACGCTTAAGGTGTACATCAAAGCGACGAAGCGGGTGAGTGCGCGCATGTATTGGGGTTTTCACTATTTGGTCAGCATATTTTATTCTGTTGTTATGCTTGTTTCAGCTACAACTGACATTCCTCTTTTGCACCGTACTTGTGTATATGTTTTGCTCCGTGAAATCGATGACAACTAACAAAATGAATTCAAACAATTTATTTTAAGTATTGTTTTATGTCATATAATCAGGATTAGAATTTAATCCTTTTGGTTTTTTTATTAAAAAAATCCAAAAAGATTCATTTCTTATCCCTTCAGTTTCACAGTGTAAAGAACGGAAACAAATTGAACAAAAATCCCAAAGACAATTGATGAAAAAAAACGGTGCTTCGAAGTTTTTCTAGTATGGCTCAAGCGAAATGATCGCATTACAGTTGAATTGGAACATGTACTTTGTCGGAAATGAATAGAACAAGTTTGAAAAATTGTGGAAGCAATAAGTGTCTCTCGGCGGTTTCTAGTCTATATAATGTAAATGAGCGATTCGTCAACTGTTGGCAGTGTTTTTATTTTAGTTCGGTGCATTTCGGTTTTTGCATAAAATTTATTATCGGTTAAATCGAAACAATTCGACATTGTGTGAATATGAACAACAACTCAATAATACTATGAAAAATGAACAATAAAACAAAACGACTCAAAATAAGAAAAACGAAAACTATAGCAGAGAGTTCGAAAATGTTTTGTTTGGGAATGCTTCAGCAAATAGCAAATGACCAGTGAATTTTTTTCCGGTTTTCAGTTAAATATCAAAAATGCAATTACTATTATAATTTCGAGAATCACTAATTAAAACTGCAGGATTAGATTATTAAGTCTAATGTGAGCCTTAAGTCTCTTAGTTTTTTCTGTCATGTTTTTATATTTTTTAATATGATAAATCTTTAAATTAGAATACATTTGAATTTCGGTGCAATGAATTTGCTTGTTCTTTTTTTTTTGCTGGACTTGTGTATTTGTGTTTTTTATGTACAGTTGTTTTATTTTAGTTTTTCTGCTAAGATAGACTCTCTCAATTTGTTTTCTTTTTTTTTGAAAAATATAGTTCATTCTTCAACCATCAATTAACTTTTTTTGCTATCTCTTTAGTTCTAGTTCATTTTGTTGTTTTTTATGCATGTATTATATATATATGCCATCATGTAGGGTTCGTATGAATATAGAGACATTTTTTTTATTCTGTATGATTTTTAACGGTTTTTGTCATTGTTTTATTTTTATTTTGTCTGTTTGTTGAATAATGCACTTCATGTGTGTACTGTTTATCACCTATTTTTTGTATTTATATTAATTTGTATTTTTCTTTTATTTTTGGTTTCTATTCTATAGAAGTTTTTGTTCTTTTTTATTCTATTTTCGATCAGATGTTCACTATCTGTTTTTCTACATGCAGTCAACATGTGTCAAGACTGTTTGAATAAAAAAAAACGTGGATGAGATTATAAGTATACCGAAACTAAAAGAAGAATCATACCGCCAACGACGAGGCGAAAATGATTTTTATATTGAAGTTGAATGATTGTTTTTACGTATATTTATGCACACAGAAAAAAAACGAAACACCCATATTTTACACCTTTTTTTGCTCTGAACGCGTTCGATAAATTCGATTCGGAAAATCAAAAAAATCTCGATTAATCATGAAACTAAACAAACCTTGGGTGAAATAAAAATGTTCGAAATTTGTGTAAAATAATTAAATAAACTCAAGCTGAATCAACTCAGAATAAACGAAATGAAGCAAAACCTAAGAAAAAAAAAAATAAATAAAAAAGAGACCAAACGAAAGAGAAACTCAAAATAAACGTTAGGTAAAAAATGATTTTTCAACTTGTTTTATTTCATCAATTATTAATTACAAAATAGATTCATATATGGTTTTGTTTTTTTAAATTTTATTATCATTAAATATAGCATTTTGTTTTTTTAGATGTGTGTGTGTTTTTTTAATAATTTTTTTTAATCATTTTTCTCTCATTTATATAGCATTAACTCTATTAAATGTAATATAATGTATGTATACTTGTAATGTTCTAAATCTAAACCGCTATGTTACACACCACCAAATGTAGGTTTATATAGGTTTGTTTGTATCTCTCATCGGGTCAGTATTTATGTAAAAAAAATGGGGATTCAAAATTGTGAACAATTGGGTGTATGCCAAATTAAGTGGTTAGAGAAAAATTCAATTAATTTAGAGTGAATTAAAAACGAAAAGAAATGATATTCTTCATTTAAATTTTAAAATACACAACGTATATATGCCAATGCTCGGCTGTTTGCTCGATTTTTATTTTCTCCGTTTTTATTTTTGTATCATCTCTGGTTCTAAAACACAAATTTTGAGAAATTTAGAAAAAAGACAACAAAAATGTAATCATTTGAAATGTGAATTTTCTATATCTCCGATTTGTTGAATTTCTGGCCCAAAAAAACTTCGCTCTTTCACTTTTTTCCGCATTTGTAAAAATTTAGTTTGGAAATGTCATAAAAAATATGTTCTTTCTCTTTTTTATGCACGAATTTCACACTTTCCTTATGTTTTATTTCCTTTTCTAAACAAATTTAAACAGATAATTTTTGTTTGTCACAGTTATTTGTTTGATGTGGACTGTGACCTTGAATTTGTTTTATTTTTCTTTTAATTTTTGGTGTGACATGAAAAGGGAAGGGGGATAAACACAGAGAAAACCGTGAGTTTTCTAACTATATATCACATTCCGAAAAGCCGAAAAAAAAATAAATCGATTTTCTTTGTCTTTCCACTGTTGGCCACTCTATTTTGTATTTTATTCCTGTCACATTCAACAAACAATCATTATTTCTCTTTAAACAACAAGGTGTCAATGGTTTAACAAATAATCAAAAGCAATCATCGCACCACAACCATCTGCATTCCGAAAACCAACAACAACTTTACAACTAATCTAATCAAATTTCTTTTGTTTTTGTATTTTTTTTTTATTTATTCCTCAAAAATGATAACATTTGTTTGTTTGTTTTTCCTCACTAATGATTCGGTATTTTAACAATGTGATTTGTATTTTAGGAGTTAATACTTAATATGTGTATGTGTTTTTGTGTGTGGCTTGTGAATTTCATCATTATTTTATCTATTGCATTTTGTTTGCTCCCACTGAGGAGACAAACAGGCGAAACCGTTTATTTTTTTATTTTTATTTTTTTTTTTCATACTTTTTCAAACTCTATATGTGTCTGTAGAGAATGGATTTGAATTATTCATATTCAAATGGAATTGCACATTTAAAAAAAAAATGAACGGTTTGGGGAGGCGAAAACTCAAAAAAGCAACCAATCGGGCATTGAATAAAAAAAACACGGTAGAAAAATAAAAAAAGGTAAAAAATAAAACAGGGACAAAAATATGGTAACAAATTGAAAAAAGAAAAATATTGTATTGTAAAACAAAAAGAACTGTGCAAACGAAAACAGGATATTATCAATGGTTGTAATCCAATCAAATATATGAAGATAAAAAAATCTATGGTGTGTCAATGAAAAGCTGGAAGGATTCAACGGATTTTACTTTGTTTTATTGTAAATAACAACAGTGAATTAAAGTTGAGATAGAGTGTGATAAGAAAAAAAAAAACTATTTTTGGCCAGAAGAGGCGGGGGTGGCAGCAGTGCAAGCGGCGGTCACCATGCATGCATACTTATTCATCCACTCAGAAAAAAAACATAATTCAACAAAAAAATTTCCTTTTTTATCGGTTAATAAATATCATATCACAAAATTTATAATTAAAATTGTCATCATTAAACAAAGGAAGCGAAAAAAAAGAAAATTAAAAGAGAAACATTATAGAAAGACGAAAAAAGGAGAAGAAGGAAAACTACTTCAAATATAATGTACATGTGTAAATTATTATGTTTTTTTTCCCGGTTTACATTCATTCCATTCAATAATATATATTCACACTCCGGTGCACTTCCTGTTTCAATCGATCTGTCAGTCCGTTTTGGACAAAATCTTAAGCCATTCCAACCGTTCTGTATATGTCTAAACCTAATTGTTGTTGTTGTTTTAAAATTCAATGAGCTTACACATCTAGTGTTTTTATACCATAAAACATTACAATGAAAAAAGAAGAAAACTAAATATTAAAAAAAAAAACATTTAAACAAAGGTCATCACCACAGAGATTTTTATCCGTTTCAATAAGACAAATGAACCGCTTGATTTGTATGATTTTTGATCGATAAACAAAAATTCGCCGCAACAAATCTGAGCTTTGTAAATATATATATAGGTAGATTCTGCTTTCACACAAAAAGAAATCAATAATGATGAGAAGAGAAAGCATTTTTCTTTTATCTTCAAAAATCAACAAAATATCAACGGGATTCAAATTTTACCAAACGGTAGATATCATTCACAGACACGTACACACATTTTTCTATCCATTGGCAGCCATTTTTTGTCGCCGACTAAGCCTTCATTCGTTTTTATAGATCGATTTGATTTAAATAAAATTCAAACCAAAATGTTCCATTTACAAAAACCTTTTATACACGTCAAATAGATAGACTTTTCTTTTCAAATATATATGAATGTACTTAAATATTTTTCTTTTAAATGTGTGTATGTGAGTGAGTGTTCTGTGTGTAGTTTTTTTTAATAAGAATAGATAGTTCAAAGGTTTTTTTTTTTCTCTCACAGTTAAACATTAAATTGTTACTGTATAAGTGTATACATACATTTAAATTAGTTTTTTTTTTATAATAATAATATTTTTTTCATTTATTTACTTAACTTTGAACTGCAATAGAGGTATTTTCTATTTTCAGTTAATTTATTTTCTCTTTTTTAAATTTCTTCTTTGTTTCGTGCAGCAAATCAAGTGACATTTCACTTTGAAAACAAAAAGTCAAAGTTTTTGCATTCGCAATGTTGTTGCCATGAATGTTTTGCATGGACTTTTGTGTATGTGTGTCTTTTCTTTAACACGATTCCTATAATATTTTCATTTTCTCTTAAATATATGCTGTTCGAACATTTCAATTATTCAATGCAAAATGGTTCATCTTTATATATATATATTCAATTTTGAACTTGTTGTGTATGTTCTCAATGTCATTTCTCCCTTAATGTTCATTTTTGTTTGTTTCAAAGAGGTTTAAAGGTTCTCTTAAATCTTGCATTATTTTGTTTGCTTTCTTTTTGATACAATATATTATTTTATTATTACCTACAAATAATTTTATATTGTTATACTTAGCGATTAGTTCTAGATTGTTTGTTTTTCTCTTCACTTTACTCGGCAATTTAACATAAAAATATTGATTAAATGAATTTTTGTTAAAATTTTTATATAAATTAAAAAAGTGTTTTTTTTTTTTTTTTTCAACTAACTTTCATATTTTTTTAGATTTTTTTTTTTTCTTGTATGGTTTTTCAAGACAAAGACAGCAATATTTTGCGCAGTAATCTTTGTCTGCATACAATCTGTTCATGCCACATGCATTTTTTTTTCTATACAATTTTTTGTTTTTCTTTTATTACTTTACACATATGTTTTAATACATATTTACATAAAACTTAAGACATCAACATCACATCACATTTATTCAATTTTTTAAATTTTATTTCCACGTTCCGAAAATTCGTCAACTTTTTCTAGTTTTATTTAGTTTTTTTTTGCAACCGATTTTTTTCTGGTTATTTTACATGGGTCTTGATATTGCAAGACTTGCACGTATGCGGCAAATCACATCAGCATCGATGATTTTCAATATTTTTTCTTGTGTTTTTGGCAGAACGCAAGCCGAAAATTCTTTTCAATTTGATGTATAGCGTTGTGGCTGGGTTTTTTTAGGTCACTTTCAGTGTTCACTTTGTTTTCTCCCGCAAAATTTCAATTTAGTCAGACAACAGTTTCTGAAGCAGCAGCGATGAGTTTTTAGGGTCACCGATTTGCTCCTCCGAAATACTCGACTGCAATGGAAGAAAAAAATCAAATCGATTCACATTAAAAACAAATGTTGAAAAATTTATAATTTAAAAACAAAAACAAATCAAGCAAAGAGAAAAAAAACGAGAAGTTATAGATGAGTTTGTTTTTTATTTTTCAAAAAAATAAATGAGGTAGAAAGTCAATCAATCAACAACAAAATAAATAACGATCGAATAAAGAGATTACACCATGCATCATCCAATAAAGCACACAAAAAATTGGATTTGCTTTGAATGAAGTATAATTGTAGCTCGGGGTAATTCGGTTAGTGTCATTTTCAAATGTTAAAAATTATTTTTTATTAAATTTGATTTTTTTATACTTTGTAAAAAGTTCACGCAATTTTTTCCAAAAGAAAAAATAAATTATTTTAGAATGTTTAACAAAATTTCAAAAAAAAAATCAATTTTTTTCGATTTATTATTCAAAAAAAAAATAAAAAAAAATACCGAATTTACTGCCGAGCGTATACAAAACCAATTGAATGACACCCATAATAAAATATTTAAAAAAGAAGATTGTATTGAAGCGTTTGAATGTAATTGTCAACTTCACACCCTTCGAAAAAGAAGCCGAAGAAAACTTGAGCATTGAAAAAGAGCTATTCAATCTACTGAATCAAAACTACTGGCTAGCGCCGTTTCTTTCTTCAACCCGAAAAAATGATATTCACATGAAACAAACCATTCAATTCATGTTAGTATTCACATTTTGGATGAAAAAGAATTATTCAAAATTGTCTACGAAGCAATAAATAATTACAATGTAAAGGAAAGATAATTTAAAAAAAAAGAACAATTCAAATAGAGTGAGAGAGAAACGTTCGTCAAAAACTGCGATAAATTTGATAGATATGGTTCAAATATCAGAACAAACCCTCTGCTGTACAGTTTCACAAGAAATAGACAAACCGGCAAAGAATCAAAAGCGAGAAATTAAAACAAAAATCTCAAATACAAACTATAATAACAAAGCGGTAAAAAAATGTCAATTTTTTGTTACTTGGTTTTTTCTATTTTTGACACACAACAAGTCGAAGCAAAGTATATTGGGCTGCAGTACTAGTTAACTTAAGAATCAGTCGGATCAAAATCAATAAATACAGTATTTAATTAACAAAGAATAAATTTCTAGAGAAAAAATGTAAAATCCAAAAAAAAATATATTTATTAATACAGAGGCATGTATAAAATCAACGATAATAATGAGCAATTACGGTATATTATTCATAATCATAATTATTATTATCAAAAGGATGCCAAAAAAGAGACTAAAACAAAAATAAAAGTGAGATATTGTTCAGTTGCAGCAAAATAACAAATGATATTCGAATAGATCCAAAAAAAATACATTTCGTGAAACTGTGAGCTAGTAGAGAGAGCGAGTGTGTGTGTGTGTTGTTTTTGTTTTGACATAATCTTACCCTCGTCGCAGCGGTTTCTCCGCTTGTCCATTGAGAAGCTGTGGTTTTTGTGTCTAGAACTGTTGTACCTTGAAAGTAGAATTCAAAACCGAGATAATTGACTATTTTCTTGTTTTGTTTGTGTTTGAATTTTGTGTTTCTATATAAACTGTTGTTGTTTTGTATTGAGACGTGTTTGGCTTTGCTTTGATTTTAAATTATAATTGTATGTCTAAGATTTTGTGTGCTTTGTCAAACACTAAATCTAGAAGGGGAGTTAAAGTGTTTAGCAAACTTCCTAGTTTCCAATGCATATTTTGGATATTGATGAGAGAGAATGTAATGTGTGTATATATATTAAATTAAAACTGTTTCCGATTGTATGTGTATAAATATGTACAATTAAACAAAAGAAACAAAATATGATGAAATGATTTTGCTAGCCTGTTTGAATGACTGATTATAGAGAAAATAAAAGGGTGTTTTTAAGGGGGGTAGAGTGATTTTTTGATATGATTTGTTTTCAGTACACAATATAGTAGTGAAAGATATGACAAAAGACATGAGAGCACATTCCAACAGAAACATCACAATGATATTTTTTGGTCGTGCCATTTGCGAGACCATATTCACAAGAGTGTTTGGTTGTTCATATTTTTTGTCATGTGAATTTTTTGCTTACCAGTTGTCGGTAGAGTCATTTGATCGTAAAATGCCATGTCCGATGTGTTCATCATTGAATTGGAGTTCATTTGCTGCTGTTGCTGCTGCTGTTGCTGCTGTTGTTGTTGTTGCACAGCCATTGACATTGACACATTATTTGTGTTACTGTTAATATTATTATTGACAGTTACATTGGCATTCGGTACCATCATCGCATTTTGTCCGATCGGACTTTGTGGCGGTCTTGCATTGTTCATGGTTCGCTCGTTCACCATCGTTCGTAATTCGCGACGCACAAATTCTGACGAATGTCCGGCATTATTCACACCTGAACAAAAATAAATTTTATTGTTCAATCGATTCGAATCACATTAGATATTTGCTTAAACATATCAATAACAATTTTTTAATGAAACAAAAATACTTCGTTCTTTTTCTAAATTGCCGTGCAAAACACAATTTCAATTTCGGATTAAGCAACCTTACTTTTTTTATGTTAAATTGTTAGTTATTTATTTCTAATGATTAGACAACACAATTTTTTTCTGTTACAAAATACCATTTTTGCTTTTGATCAGAAATAAAAAAATAAAAAATCGAATGCAGTTTCGAAAAAAGAAATTTTTAGAAATGTCTAGAAATACACAGTCAAAGCACCATTAGAAATTTACGATTATAAATTGTTTAACATTTTCGGAAAATTAGTTCGAATTCTTTAAATACACCTTACACAAATACACAGAGAGACATATCTCATGCTTTTAATTCGGATAAAATTGATACTTTTGTCGACAATGAGAAAACCAAAAATTTGGAACATCATTTTTTGTTGTAAATAACCACATTTTTGAAGCACACGAATTTGATTCGAATAAATACTTCTACTTACTACCATAGTAAATTGAACTGTTGCTGCACTCGTCAAATAGAAAGCCCAATTCGTACATTGATTTCAGTGCATAAACTAATTTGTGTAAAAAAAAATTTGTTTCACTCAGTTTTTTGTAGTTTTTTTTTTTAAATTAAGAGCACATTTAATGACGTTTAAGATGTGAAACATGAAAGAGTAAACACTTTAGATTCGTTGATTCAATGCAGTTATTTACAAAACCTTTGCTTAAACACCGAAAATGCTACGCTTAATAACAAACAAAGCCGCAATAGCGTCTGAATCCAAAATACGTGAAATTTTTCCTGAATGATGAAAATGAAGGATGCTACCGAATTAATTCAAGTGACACAGAAATAAAAATAAATGAAAAGAGTAAAAGAAGAAATTGGTGTGATTCGATGATTATTATGAGTTTAAACGATTCGATGGAATGTGGTGGATGGTCAAGATGAAATGCATTTAAACGATGGATCGACAATGACAACAACAATGATATATACAAAAATACACATAAATTAATCTATTCTCAATGAAATGTACAATAAAAAGTAAAGGTTATTATTCACAATGTGCGAAATGAGGCATAAGGTAACGAGTAAAAAAAATGACGAAACATTTAGGTGAAGAAAAAAAGAGATGATGAAAAATACCACAACAATAATGTTACACGTATGGCCAAAACAAAACGATATTTTTTTGATCAGAAAAATTTGAACAAGCCGGAAAAGTTTTTGAAAAAAAATCTTGAAGAACTTTCTGCGCGGCTGAAACCATTTACATGAAAAAGGTGCATGAATTTGGTTAATTTTTCATTTGTTGTTAGATGAGCTCAAGAGCTGAATGTATGCCGAGAATTTTTTTTTTTGTGATTTCGAAATGCACCAAACGCATCCAGCAACAATAGAGAAAATAAATCCAATCTTATTCAAACCAATTTTCATATTTGGTAACGCGCTTTTTGATCGTCTTATTGGTGTGGTACAATTTGTATCGCTTTTTTCTGATACTTTTTTGATGCCGAGAAATTGACAGAGAAATGAGTTTTTGTTTAATGATATTTTTGAAGTGAGACAGAGTAATTTGGTTGTTTTCTGGGAAAATAGATGATCAAGTGGATCAAGCTTGAGGCATGTGATTTTTGGTTACTTAACATATTTTTTTTTATCGTTTGATCTGAATATTGTACATTCTTTCATTTTACAAAAAAAAAAAATTTGGTGAGAGAGATTGATTATATTGCATTGTTTTTTTTAAGAAGAGACCCATCGTCATCATCCCTTACCCTGTGTACGACCATAGTAATCATTAGCTGTTCCAGACGAATGCATATTGTACATCATGTATGTGGAATCTGAATAAGGGCGTGGCGATCCTGTGAAATGTCATTTCGGATTAAAAAAATTTTTTATTCACTTTGGCTTGTTTTCTTTCGACAATTTTTTGTTTCAATATGTGTGGTTTTTTTTGCAGCATTTGTTGTTCTCTATTGACGTCGGATTTTTTTTCTATAAATTTTACTTCAAGAGAATTCATATGGAAAAGGATGTGTATTTATTGTATCGCTATCAGGAGATTTGTGCAGAATTTTTTATGTGTGTGTTTTTTTTTTTTGCAAAATTTTGGAAGATTGTTCAACTAAGAAAAAACAATCGTTTATAGTTCGAAAAGTCTTTATCTCATGACTAAATAAAATTTTGGTTGATATTCGTGTTTCGTATTTTTCATTCGATATGCAGAAAAGTGCTGTATTCCAAAAGGGGGAAAATGTTTGCATTTTTTTTATTCTGATTTTATTCGAGAGGGAAGAAATGTTTAATAATTTGGAAAATGCCAACACCGTTTTAGAATAAAAAAAATAATAATAATAATATAAAATCCAAAAATAACGATCGATTAAAAAAACTGTACGTACAAAATCTAAGAAAAAAATAACTAAATTGATAGAAGAAATGCTATTTTGGTAAAAAAAATGTTGATTATTGTTCGGTTCATGCTCTAAAAAAATTTACAAATCAAAGATAGAGAAAACGGTTCAATTTGGTTAGATGATTTACTCGCACGTTTCGTCAGCGAATTAAAATGCACTATTTTATTTCATTTCAAACAAAAAAAAAATCACTAGCACTAATTTTTTTTTTAAATGCCATTAACAGTGTACTCGTTCAAAATTACAGTGTATATGAATTTGGAAAAGAGGATACTAATAAAAAAAATTTGCTAAAAAAGATATTTAGTTTTTGTTTAATGAACAAGACATATTTACATCCAAAGATTTTGATATTAAAAAAAGGTAATGCTAGGTTTAATTTGCGTTGCGATGCACTTTCCAATTTGGTATTATATTTTGAAATGTTTCAACTTTTAATAGCCTTCATTTATTAGTGGGATAAGGAATAACTACGAAAAAAGGGTAATACAAACTTCAAACACGAGACTTTTTTTTAATTTTGGGAGAACTATTTTTTTTTTTACTGCAAAATTATTACCGAAATGAAGGCAGAAAACTAATATGAAAAAAAAATAATTCAACGCACTCAAACACGTTTACTTACCAGGCAGATGCTGTGTTGCGTTCGGTATACTTTGTTGTCGTGCCATTCGCATCTGTTGGTTATTGAACATATTTGGAGCGTATGAATTTTGTGTCGTCGGACTTGGTGGTTCGGTGAAACCATCCGAAAATGAATTTTGCCGCAAATTTTGCGTAACCGGAGAATTGAGTGAACGCTGTCGTTGTGCTTGGAATTGTCGAGCTGCATTACTATATCCACTCTGTAAATTATCGAATTAAATCCGAATTAATATCACACACAATGAAAACCAAATGCAATTCAATTCGAATTAAAAGCAAATATCGTTTCGATTAGGTTACCTGTAATTGTGCATTCAACATTGGATTCTGTTGTTGTTGCACGGATAAACGAGATTGTATAGTTGACGCATTCCATTGCGATTGTGTTTGAGGTTGATTCGGTTGTGTTTGCTGTGGCTGAGTTTGGTTCCCCTGAGAAAATTGTTGCTGTTGTGATATCTAACATATTAAATGCAAATCATATATTAAATTTGATTTTTGATCGATAAGTGAATTGGATGGTGTCTCAAAGTCACTGTTTATCTTTAATAAGGTTATGTTTTGTTGATTAAAATTCAAGATTGACATTTTAGTTACAAATAAACATAACCTTAATGAACTGTAATTTTGTACCATTTTTATGGAAAAGTTCGAGGGAAGTTTGGCTGTGCTTAAGAGTGGCACATCTCGACGTAAATTGATTCACGTACAATTTTTTTTCATGCTATTTCGAAAAAAATGCATCCAAAAGTAATCATACCTGATTTTGTCCAGCGTTCGTAGTAAATGATTGATAGCCAATACTTTGATTTGATTGTGGGCTAAATGGTGCCCTTTGATTCGGGCTAAGTTGTTGTTGCAACAAATTCGGCGAGAATCCTGGACTTAACTGTGTATCAGGCACAACATTCGTACTTCGTTGTAGTGAAACATTCGGCGGCACATTGTTCAATAGCTCAAAACTTGACATTCCCGAATTCATATCTGTAAATTGGCAAAATATTAAATGTTTAGTTAAATGTTATGGTATCGACTTGAAATGCAAATCGGCCCAATTCTTACATAGTTGTTCGTTTGCGGTTGCACTGACTGGCACAACGAGAGATTGTTTCTGTTGTTGTTGCAACAGGCGTTCCTTTTGTTGTTGTTGTTGAAGTAATGCTTCGCGTTGCATTTGCTGTTGGAATTGTAGCCGCATGGCTGGAGTGGATTGTGGTGAATTTGTGTTTGTGGTGTTGTTTGTATTTCCGACAGCATTTCTTCGTTGCGTATAAACTGGTGGCGGTGGAAAACCCTGAATACAAAAAGAAAAACATTAATCATTACCATGAACATGAAAAAAAAGTCTCATAGAGAAGCAACTCCAACTCACTTGAGATGTGGTGTTGACATTATGCATTGAATATGCGGGTGGACTGCTATTGAATACGCCAGTACTTTCGATTTGCATAAGCGATTTAGTGATGGCATTAATGGCCATTTCTTCCTGATTTTGCGGTTGTTGGCTTGGCTGACTTGATGACGATTCCAGCCCCATTCCACCCAACATATTATTACCCGGATATTCGGGCAACAAATCAATCACACTGTTTACAATATCGTCCAATTCGGTATCACCAACACCGCTCGGTTGAACTGGTGTTGTTGCTGTTGACGTGGCAAATGCGCCAGTATCAAAATGGAATTCTTGTGGCCGCGTTATTGCCGGTTGCATTATCGATGTGGCCGTTTTGCGCATCTGTGGATTATTTTGTGTTTGCGGTGGCGTTCTTTGATTTAATTGTTGCTGTTGCAAATTCATCAACTGTTGTGGAGTCAATTTCGTTGTATTTGGTGACGGTTGTTGCTAAAATGAAATAGAAAATAAAATTAACATTATATATGCTCTTTGTCCTTTATTTCTCGTCAAAAGGTGAAGAAAACCGTTTTTGACCTACCTGGAATCCACGTTGCGAATCGGTTATTCGCGATTGTGTTATGTCAGGAATGGTTTTCACTACAGGAATCGGGGTGAATGTAGTTGGTGCTTTTGATGGATTCGACAAAAGTGATGCCAACATTTTGTTCTTTTCACGCAGTTTTGATGGTTTATCTTCAGTTCGTTTTGCCAATGGACTGTCATCGGAATCGTTTGACGATCGTTTACGATTCGGAAAATCGTTACCCTGAAACCGAAGCATTTGAATAAGTTCCTCATTACCGATGGGATTCATGTTGTGATGATGATCCTTGGGCGTGTCTTCCTTTTGTAGTTGTCTCAACAATTCACTGTTGTTCCGTTGATTTGACGGTCGACCATCCATATTATCATCGTCATGATTTAAAAGATGCATCAGCATGGGATTTTCATTCGATTTCGTATCACTGCCACCCGCCCGTTGTTGATTACCAAGTCTTTGCTGCTGTTGTTGTTGTTGTTGTTGTTGCTGCTGCTGCTGCTGCTGCTGCTGTTGGGTCGTTTGATTTGGATTATTCATTTTATTTCCAAATGTATTATTTACATTGTCTTTTTCTTCTTCAGCATCCAAAAGACCTTTCAGTATTTTATTGTGAGCCACAGTACGTTGGTCTTGTTCACTTTCGCCACCCGGAGCAATAGCATTTGGCGGTCGTTTTGTGGTCAACAGATTTCGTAATCGCTCCGAATTGTGTGAAGCGGATGAAATCTGCGGGAAAAAAAATGTTTTTTCACGTGAATAAGGTGTGATCGTGACATTTGTAATGTCAATTTGGCATTTATGACTCACCTGTTGTTGTGTCTGTTGCTGTTGCTGCGACTGTTGTTGTTGTTGTTGTTGCTGCTGCTGCTGCTGTTGCATTATTGGAGACACGGTATTCGACGTATGTGTCGTCATATGAGATACTGTTGTAGGCGCCTTCGGCATGTGATTGTTGTTATTGTACAACATACTATTATTATTGTTGTTATTTGTATTGTTGTTATTATTATTGTTGTGATTCTGAAATAGAAATTAAAGATCAATAGTTTTATGGTTTTTGTTCGTTTCAAATTCCAAAAATAAACGGTTCAATAATTGAATGCATTCACATAGAGATATTCTTGTACTACATTATGCCGAAAATAGCATTAAAAATTGACGTATCAGAATTACAGATAAAAGTCAAAGATTCATGCGATTTATACCATTGTACTATGAAAACACTAACATCAATTTAAGGTTATGATTTGACAAGTTATATAATTCTTAAAATTGTATGTAGTGGTAAAATTTATCGGCTGGTCTGATATGTCCAATTATAATGCTATTTTCAGAATAGTGCAGTACTAGAATATTTTTGTGTCTATAAATACCTGTAATGGGCTTGGTTGAGAAGTATGATAGCCAGTCAATGGTGATTGGCATACACTCGCAATCGGGCTGAATTCAGATGCGGGTCGTGGTGTACCAACCGGTGTGACACTTGCTCTCGAATCCGGCCTTGTGTCCCATACAATGCCAACCGATTCCATGCCATTTATATCGAATGTATCAGGGAATGAAAATTCAAATGAATCTGCATTATAAATGTTATCCTGCTGTAAACTCGTATCGGTTTGCATTTGATTTTGCATTGATTGTACAACGCCCGAACCATTCATAACGGTTGTCATCAATGGACCGCCAATATTTGAATTGAGTGCATTAATTTGACTCGTACTTGCATGTGACATCGTCGTCTTGTTTGAATTCGTCTCAAATGTGGAGAAATCGGTGTCGTTGAGCAACGTATTCAGTGACATAATAAAATCACTTTCGTTTGGTTTACTATTTTGATAATATTGTGAACATGCCTTTACATACACATACGTATCTTGACCAAAACGAATACGATATGGCAACGATTGTGCTGGCCCTTTACATTGTATAAGATCCCTTAAATGGTCCTGTAATTTTGATAAATCCTGAATATGTGTGATATCTTGAATGGTTCGGCAATTTTCTTTGGTTAGTGATTGCGCATATGATTTTCGCAATTTTTCGGTATTCATTTTAATTATAGTGCCCGATGGATCTAAACGAAATGTTATTTGTTCTAATTGGTGTTGTTGGGTTTGCTGTTGTTGCATCGTTGATTCAATCGATGGTTCGTCGTCAGCTCGTTGTAATAAACATAAAACTGGTGAAGTAACATCGCCGTTTTCTGTATGCACACGAGAAAGAAAAACAGTGAATAAACTGAAAAATAAAAAAAATAAAATGTTTACCTTTGTTAAATGTTGCTGTTGCATGCAACATAATTTCTTCATATTTATCTTGACGTTGTTGTTTTTCTTCCATAGTTTCGGTACTACTTTCTGGATGCTTTACCAACATACGGATGCGTTTCTGTATGGTACGTTTATTTTGTGCTGATTGATTATCATCTTGACGATCCCAGCTGTTCAATTGAAATGACATATTATTCAGCAATGGGCTCAATTTACCATGATCGCCAGCATGCAGGTACGAATAAATTGGTTGTTTCAATAGATCAGACGATGTGAAATGGATTAGATCTTTGATATTTTCTGTCACCGTTTCAATGATACCTTCCGAATTGATTTGAATTAATGCCAAATCGAATGACGATAAATAGTGCTCGAGTGCACCGAATTGGGCTAAAATATCTGGATTTGATGAACCGTTCAACGATGTTTCCGGTAAATGGGATTCAGTTGATGAGACGTCTCCTTGTTGCACCGGATGAATCGTGCACGAATCAGAACAAGTTGGTGAGCACTTGCGATTATTCTTTTCACAGAGTTTATTGTACTGCAACGAAAAGAAAATTAAACAAATTATAAGCAACTGATTTTGCACATTTTAATTTTATTCAAAAACAAACAATTTCCTCTATTTTGTGTACTACGAAATTTTGGTGAGTCAATTTTCATGTGCACGCGTCCAATGATCCATTAAACGAATGACAAATGTGCGCATAAATAGCAAACAACCGAAAGAGAGAGAAAAATAAGGAATACGAATGATTTATGTCTTTTGCAAGCCTGACTGCAGTTATTTAAGTGAAAACATTTCTAGAAACTGTCCACATAAATCAACATCAATTCGGCAAAGACATTTGCGAGTGGCGAACAAAAAAATTATTCAAAAATTGCAACAAAAGAATAACAACGAAATGGTTGGTTATAAATCCGTCACCAATTTCGAATGTCTTTTATATTAGCCCATAATTCAGCGGTCCTTTTGGATACATTACATGTGCGGCATGTGCAAAAAGAATATATTGAAATCACGGATTTTGTACGAGATGAATAATTCGTACATTCCCTACTGACAAATCATTTCCACTTTACCGAACAATTTTTTTTTTCGAATAGAATTTGATTGGAACTATAAGGGATTACAATTAAAATTTTCGAAATTTGTTCAAAAATAGTTTGAAAATAGTTTTGTAAGTAATTGCAAGTTGATGTCAGCAGGGATCAACTAGTTGGATTTGGGTTTTAAATATTGGGCGGAATGCACGAATTACAGATACACGAGCATTTAGAGAACTGTCTCGTTAGATTGTTGATCATCATCATTATTGTTGTTCGTTTTTTGACAGGTGTTTTCGCATTTCGTTCGAGATTGACAATTCAGTTTCAGTTGTAATTATTGTTTGCTTCGTTTCAAATTAGATATGCACGTATACACGGTTAAATTTAAAAAAAAATTAAAAATACGACTTTGTATTTTATCCAAAGAACAAATTAAGGCGCACTTGTTAGGCTGGGTGCGTTTTAAAATGGAAATTCTCTCTTTTTTTCATTTATTTTCGTTCGAATGAATTCAATGTGAAAATGAGATGGATTTCTCACTTCTAGGCAAAGAATATATCGTTGTTTATAAATCGTCGTCGTCGCTGTTGTCGTCAGGTCTACAAAGCGTAAGACAACTACTACGTGTGTATTTCTTTTTGTTTCAATGTTAATTAATGATTTAGTTTTTGCAACTTTACACTACTAGTTTTCAAAGCATCAAAAGAATCCGTACAAATACCCACGAATTGAAGAGAGAGAAAAATAAATGTATATATGCAAAGTGTAATAATAAAAGTCTAGGTTTTGTTCCATACAAATGCAAAGAGTGTACCGAGAGTTGAACATGTGATTACTTTGAAGTGAACATTAATAAATTTTATACCTGTACACGACGCGACATTTTCGAATGGGTGTATCTGGCGAACGAGATACGTTTTTGCTGCCGAGCTAGAACAAGAATTTGACTTAGTGCTAACGCTGGCCACGCAAAAGCGTCAAATGTTTTTTTATGCGCGTTGCTGAATCGGCACATACGATTAATGTCATTCGCATTTGCCACGTTATTTTTTTTTTTTTCTTCATTCGTTTGCTCTTTAAGCAATTACATAGAGCTGTAATCAAGTTTTTTTATATTCTTCTTTTTTTTCTTCTCAGTTCTTGTTCGTTCTAAAACAGTTTTGCCCGTGTAAAACCACGTATTATATCATTTTCTACTTGGTAATTAATATCAAGAAGTTGGACATTTAATTAACGCAAAAGACAAGGCGATAAAGTTGATCTCAGCGTTGCACGGAATAGACGAGAGGTAGTACAGAGAAATAAAATGCGTGTAAAACAAGAGCGGTAGAATGTGAGAGATTGAAAGAGAGAAAGAGAGAGAAAGACAGAGAGAGAGAGAGAACTGAAATGATAAAGCCTCATAAATGTCATACACTGACCACAAAGCCACTTTGCTTACATAATTTTTACGGTGCTCTCAGCATTTATAACAAGCTCAATTTGTCGCTTTAAAGAGAGTGAGAAAAACAAGAAAGGAAATATGATTGCGTGTATGCATTGATTTTACGTTTGAAGGAAGAAACAGTTGTTCAATTTCAATGTGAATACTCGACCGTATATTTTTCTATGAAAGAAAAAAAAGACAAAAACATTTTCCAACCAAACAAACGAGTATCGTTTATCCGTTCAATCGTTCAAAATGAATTGTTTCACATTTTATTATGACATATTTTGGCAGAATGACAACTTAATCTACGTCATAATGATTCACTTTTTTGTTGTTGTTGCGTCAGTTTCCCAAGAAAAATCTCATAACTCAATTGCAGGCTTTGAAGCAGTGAATTGATAAAAAAAAGTAACCGCAAAATTTCCAGTGCCAATTTTACACACAACATTTTCTTTTTTATTTGCCTAAATTGTATTCAAAGTGAGAAAAATACCGCTTCAAATCGACCATTCAATACGACAGTCAGCTGAATGTTTAACTAAATACTTTGGCTTTCGTGAATGCCGTTGCGCGCGCGCGTGTGTATGCTCTTTTTTTTTTTGGCCAAAACGACCATAATTCATTCGGTTTTGGACAGGCGTCGCCGTGAGGGGCGTTGTGATACACAACAAATATTATACACATATCGAACGAAAAACATGACATCCTTTTCTTTTCGACATGATCAAATGAAATAAATGCTTTTTAATGACAACAGAGATCACAAAAAATAAAATAAAATTTATCAAAGACAACGATACTGTTGACGTTGTTTTCAACGAAAGAATACCTCCCTCCCAAAGAAAAATATATTTTTTCCATCAAATGAGAAGACTTTTTCTTACAGAAGACATTTCAAACGGATGTTTGTAATTGAGTTTTAAAGGAAGATATAAATAAAGCTAAAAAAAAAAAACAAAAGAATGACAGACAAATTTTAATGAAGTAAAAAATGGTGAAGAGTCAGAAGAAAGCTCAAAACAAGAAAAGGTATCATGAAATAATGAAAATTTAATACTTTTCCGTCAGTTAAGGAATTTCAAAGAAATTCATACAAATTGACAAAATAAAAAAAAGTCCATGACTAAGTCATCATGACTTTCACCATGTCGGATCGAGTTTATTTAAAAAAAAACATTCGAGAATATAATAAATTCCATAACATCGAAATGAAAAGTAAATTCCATAATATTTGGAATACAATTCAGTATATTTGTGTGTCTGACTATTTGCTTAAATTTTTTTTCGAATTAAGCGATTTCAGAATTTTGTGCAAAATTCATTTTTCAATTCATCTGTTTATTTTCCTTGTGAATTTGGATGGTTTTTGTAACAAGGAAATGGGCAAAATGTGCGAAACAAAAGAATCAATTACACTAAATAAATAGATACGTTCATTGCACTTATAAATAATGAATTTACCAACAGCGCTTTATTTTATTAAATCGGTGTACATTCTATGTGCCTCTATTGTCATTGCACCATTTTATATAGCACCATGAAAACGTTTTCCAGCTTTGAACTAATGTTGCCGAAAAAAGGAAATATACAGTGCTTATTACTTGTTCGGACATCAATTATTGATTGTGATAGTCTGTGTTGTTACTTCAATATGTATGAAACGCGAAACGTTCATTCTATTTCCAGCCAAAAAAAAACGTGTTCGCTTCATATCGTATATATATTTCTCGAACGTCACCGAGTAAGCTATATAGAGAAAACGGAATAATTGGATTTTCTTTCAATTGAATTATTACCGCAAATAGAATAGAAACACACCATGTTTATTTAATGTGGTTGTAGTTTCACTGTTATTTTTGGCATTTGAGAGAGCAAAAAGGAACAAAAAAAACGGCTTTCGAACCCCGTTCGTTCAACATGATAATAAAATACATTCATTCGACTTTAAAGCTATTACTTTATACATCATTGTGATTAAAGAGATGGCTGGATTGTTCGATGTTTCTTCAAAAAGCACGTAATATATTTGGGTATTTTTCGGGATGTATTTAGTATTAAAAGCTTCTCTTTCGAAGGGAAAAGGTTCGTTGTAATTCGAAAAAATGTATATAAAATCGTATTATGTTTATTAAGATCGGATTAACATGATAACAAATGACAGGCGGCTGTTAAAGCAAATATCAAATTCATGTTTGTCGATCTCGATACACATAGTGTCTGGGTGTATGTGCAACTTCATTTCGGATGAAATTCAATTGTCTTTTCACATTGTTATTAAGTGTAACAGCAATAATAAATTTGATATGCGTGCATCTAATAACACCCGTAATCCCACCGCCTTTCCAAGTGCGTGCGATAAAAATACAAAAGGATTATGTACATCTAAGTGGTGGATGTGAAAAGACGAAAAAAGTAAATTAAACCGAATTTTTCCATTCGGCAAACTTGATCAAAACCAAATTGTTCGAATAATTAATTGGTTTTCGATGTAATATTAATGCGCCCGAAAGACTCGCTTCAATTTCGTTTTGGTCAACAACGAAAGGGAATATGTTTGCTTTTGAAATGCAATTAGTATATGTATATGGAATTTCCGGTGCAGAAAATTCATAAACTCAATTATTAATTTTCGTCCAAAATGACCGGGAGAGAGAATGAGAGTGTACTTACATGTTTTACAACTTCATTTAAAATAGCTGCTTTGTCAGGTTTGGGAGCATTCATGTCCCGTTTATTAATGTGAATAAATTCGCCCAATTGTTCGATGTATTCATTTTCTTGTTCGCGTCGACGTTTTTCATTATTACATTTATTGATTTGTGATTGTGGCTGCGGCAAAACGGAAGAAAATTTTGAAATTTTGTGGTTAGAATGAAATTGGCAAATGAATAAAACCTTCGACTCACCTTATTTTCTGGGCGTCTTCGAATTTTTTTCGATGCAGCTGGTGGACATGCCACTGCCGATGCGACCGCGTTCATTATTTTCGTCTGATTCGAAGAATTCTGATTAATTTGTTGATTATTCGGTGATTGTTGCACTTGTGTCTGAAATTAAAAAAAAAAAATAATAATAATAATGGAAAATTCCGGTCACATACATTTTAATTCAATCATTATTAATTTGTATTTCTCTCTGCCTTACCTGTTGTTGCGGTATATTAAAGTTGTTATTGTTTGTTATATTATTATTATTTGTATTGATATTATTATTATTATTTGCAGCACGTGGTGATAACAACAGTGAATTTAAGGACTGTTGCGATAGCTGTGATGCTGATGTATGCGATAACCACTGTTCGGGTAGTGGAAGTTCACAAGGCCCGAGCCTGTAACAACAAAAAATGGAATAAGAAGATTAGTATTGAAAATAAATGTATAAAACGAAAAATTGGATTTGATCAAAATGAAATGGTGTCCATTTTCTTTGTGTGCTTTATTAGGAAATTCACTCACTGAGAACCACCAAACTCAAATGGATTTGATTTGATTATTTGATTATTACTACACAATTTTGACCACAACCCCGTTGATATTTTAGAATTCACAATGTGCAACAGCGCTTTTCTATCTATTGTCGATGTTATTGATCGCTGTGCTTTGATGTCGTTTTTATTAAAGGTGACCAGTTTCGAATCATGTTCACTTTCTGTATCTGGTCGTTTTTCCGTGCCGACGACTATGTCATAGACCTCATGGTATTTGAACAGAATTGAAGTCTGAAATTTCCACAGCAGCCAATCTTTTTCTTCCTTTAGACGAAAAACTTTGTCTATATCGTTGCTGCTCATTTTATTCCAACCTCAAAAACACATACGATAATACACAGTGAAAAATCGACTGTATATCTGTTACAAATGAAGTTGTCTATGCCAAATTTATTTTGTGTTTAGCATGTTTCTGCAGATGTATAACAGAGAGTTCAATATATTTCAATATTATTTTTGATGATGACGTCTTCATAAGAACCACAGAACACATACAAAGCCATTTAATTGAAAAAAATAACAACGAAAAAGCACCGGCGTCAGAAAAATAAGGCGCAATTGTATACGATGCAAACAAAGAATTCACCGACAAATGGAATAATACTCGTGAAATATGAAGCCAAATAGAAACAAACGTGAGAAAGAAAGCCAAAACAAAGCTAGTGTCATCCCACAAAAAAAATGTGACCACTTAATATGCGTATGAATGAATGAAATTTCGTCTATTATTCAAAAAGAAAAAATCGCATTTTATTAGTTGTTTTGATGATTTGCACCAATTTACTGATTCACAGTGGTTGTTGCTCCAGATAAGGCACACACACCGCATAATTTCCATAAATTCAATTCTTTTCGGGCCAACCAATGTAGATTAAAATGACCTTTAACTATTTGACACTCGAGTTTAAACAAATAATAGAGAAGGCCACGCAATCTTCTCGCAATTGTCCTGCAGAAGCATCAGGCGAATTACATGCATTTGAATAGAGCATTTCAAGAGCATATACGCTTTCTCGCAATTCATTTTTATTTATTGATATAAATGGCATCTATTTAGAATAACTAGCCGCTCAACTAACTAAGGCATTGCTCTTCATCAAAAGTTATATTCATTTGATTTCAAAGAATTGATCATCATTTTATCAGTGCCGCTTTATTTCGGCAACATTTTTTTGGGAAATTTTTTCTCTCTCTCAATGTCATTGTTGAACGGAAAAAACGTATTGCGCGCATGTATGTTTTTTCCTATCGCTCTTTTTGTTTACACATCGATACCAGCATATGTTTAGCATTGGAAAAAAAATCAGAGCAACACCACCATGAGAAATACAAGAAAGAGACGTGATTGAAGTTGAACTGTTTTTTGCTGTAATTAAAAGTAAATATTGAAATTAATTCCAAGTGAACCGATGCGACCACCATGCTAATTACTTATCCGGTGTGGGGAATTTCAATTAAATCCCGTCCGTCACAAAATGCGAACTTGATGTACTGTGCGAATCGGTGCCACTTCAGCTTGTGCACAACACAAATGAGGGAACAACACAGTCATCTTGCGATTGATAACAATCATCACGTTCAAGCAATCAATACAACGGACCAATCAAACCAAATGACTGATTGAAAAGTGACAAAGACGTTCACATATAAATCAAGAGCACTTTTCCCATCGCACAAGCTCCCATAAAATTTGTCGCTTTAGACGACATTCAAATGCAAACGAGAAAATCCGTCTAGCATTTAATTAGTCAGATATCAGCGATAGTGAAGTGAATTCGATTCCAACCGCATCTCGATTAAGTAATGTCAAATGCAGAGAAAAACGGTAAAGTTGCATGTAATTGATCATCATCGTCGATGATGAAACTTGTAATTATCATAAACAAATTGTAATCAATTCTATTGCACAAATTGAATGAACATTAGTACAAAACGATTCGAAAAAAAAAATTAACTAGGAATGGAATTAGATGCCGGAGAGAGAGAGAGAGAGAGAGAGAGATTTTCTTTAACTTTGATAATAAATAAATGAGCTTGACAGTTAAAGCGGTGAACTTTTTCGCAAAGCTAAAAGTTGGAGTAGCAATTTTGGTAAATCTTTTATCAGTTGAAAATAAACTTTTCAATTTGTTGCCATAACGAATGTATAACTTTAACTCAGAAATGTACACAGCTTCACTATGAGTGTGTGAATGTGGATGGATTTTTAGATGCATTAATGTAAAAACGATAAGAGATAGATATAGAGAGAAAACTACTAAAGTCACTTTGTTGAGAGCGCATAATAAGTAACTATTAAATGAAATTACCTGTCATTTAACTTTGAACGTAATTCAACTTTGGATTTTCACTTCATTCGGGCTTTTGCCAACTATCTCTCTCTCATTCTACCTTTTTCAATGTATTTTTCTTTTACAGTCTCTCGTTTATTTTTCCCTATACGCATAGCGGAGTTTTAATTGTGGCTTTTCAGTGCCTTTAACGTGCCACACATAAATGCTGAAATTCTTATGAAAATGGTTAAGAGAATTTCATTGGCACAGCAGATACATGACATAAATTCCACTAATACTTGTTTAATAATGTTAATAGGTACACTTCTCTGATGCATACATATATGATTGCTGCTACTTAAACTGAAGATTACAATAGCACTTTTATTGGTCTTAAACGTTGTTTAATCTCCACATGCCATTTTCAAATAAAATGAAGCACCTTTTTTGCTTCTGGTTGCTTCTGCACACATGTTTACATGAAATATTTCATTCGACGATTGCCATTCTTTTCAAAAGAATATGTTCATTGTATTCTTGGCAATAAGAAAAATCTTTTCCGCAATAAAAAACAAGCTAGAATCCTGATTGCCATCGGGCGAGAGAGTTGGCGAACGGAATACCGATCTGTGATAACTGAAGACACATACTAGAATGTGATGAAATATTTATTGGTCTCATATTTACGAAAAAAATAAGAGTTTGGATTTAATGAAGATTATTATCATTTATTTTGAATCAAATTTTATTTCTCGCTCGTCATGTATCTGTTTCAACACAGGTGACTCTCTTTTGTTTTGTATTTCTGCTGAACATCTGTTGTGACTGTGTTATTTGTTCAGCAACATCCATACAATTTTTTTATATAATACAAAGTATTTCTCCGCTATATATGTGTTTTTTTTTGCAATTGAACAGGCGATTTACAAAATGTGAACTAAATCAAAGAAAAAGAATACGAACAAATCTGGAATATCTTGAGCACTTGCAAAAGTGCGTTCAAAGCGTTTATAACCACTTGAATTACAATGTTCTTCAGTTCGAATACAATTTGGTGTAAAATTAGTGAGATAGAAGCGCAAGCACACACGAGTGTATATTGGACACTCACAAGTGGAATGTTCAAGTGTTTTTTTTTTTTTTCAAAATGCAAAAACAAAGATAAGGCATTAATTGTCTGTTCTCTGATAATTGGTTTTTATCGCATTTTCTCTCTCTCTCTCTCTCTCTCTCTCTCTCTCTCTCTCTCTCTCTCTCTCTCGTGAAATTGACAACGGTTGATCGAAATTGTTTTGTGCTTGATTTATTTGTAAATATATATTGACAGGCAAAAAACTGGAACAAGAATCAAAATCAATGTACATTTTCCTGCTCTCTTTCTCAAGCTGTACCCGATAAATAAAATCACCAAGTGAGCCGATAATTTCATTTATGATAAATTGGAAGGAAGAACAATTGACCCAATTAAAAAAGTAATCTATTCAGTTTGCATTGAACACATAGGTGGCAATCCAATGAAATCGAAAGTAACAAATGCTTTGTTTTCTTTCGAATTATGTTATTTTAACTTCACGCAAAAGAAAACAAATGAATGCGAAACAGCATGCATCAGCTAGATGGTGATCATGAACAATATATCGAAAACTTTCATCAGCGCTTAATTTTTCTTCTTTTTATCATCGTGTGCAAGAGGGAAAGGGAGAAGTGCAGCAATCACAGTGCTGTTATGTATTCATTACCAATGCCAATACGTTTTTTTTGTTGCTTGCAATGAGAGCGAAAACGCCACATGTGATTAGTTTGTGTGTAATAATTAGATTGTGTGTTGTTCATCGTGAAAGTTATTGTCAGTATGTATGTCGGTGTCAGGTTTTATACTTCGCTCTATCTATTCTTTCTTGTGTGTTTGCTCGTTTTTTCTGATTTCGTTTCGCTTGATTTTCCGATGCGAATTTGGCCGCCGCGCTCAATTGAGTTGCGGCTCAGTGCCATCGACATTTTTTTTCTGTTTCATTTTTATTCGGGCGGACGGCCAAACGCGCAATGCAAGCGGCGCAACTGCAATATCTCTTTTGGTATGGCCGTTTCACTGACATAATACAAAATTGAATATTGCGTTCATTCGATTATGGCCGCTTGTTTTTTCCAATTCCACAGAGTCGATCAAAATTGAAAGCGAAAGCATTAAATCGTAATTATTATTTTTCATATCTCTATCGTTAATGTCGATACGCAACTTTATTGTTGCTTGTTTGTATAGCTCACAATGTTTTTTATTGCGGCCAATAATTGAGATTTAATTGTATTTTATATTTTTTTTTCTTTTCTCTTTCTCCCTTTTTTTTGCTTCATTCTCACTATCTCTCGTTTATTGCAATCGCTTTTAGTGTGTTTTGTGTTGTTATTTTTTTTTTGTTTCTCTCTTTAGCACAATTGAAACTTGTTTACATTACGCGTGAGGAGCGGAATGAATGCGCGCACTGGCAACATAAAGCCAAATTGATATAGCTTGATGAGTTTGACTTGAAGTATGTTGTTAAACACTTTGTGCAAAAATGCAACACACAT